CTGTGTATTCATAACTACCACTTCCAGGAGCCTGGCCTCACTCAGCTGTGACAGAGATGTACAATACATGTACCATTACTCCACCGGTATTCTCAACCAACACTCATCCTCCTCCAAGTTTGTCAGAGAGAGTCATCCTCTTCATCCATCATGGGCTGCTACAGAATCTGGCCAAGAACTCATTATCATTCAGATCAGGATGTCTACTACACCTCCAGAGACCAGGAATCAGATGTAATTTGAGGATTGATTTCTTTAAACGACAACCTGTTCAGCAATTCTTTTTTATCAATGACAGATCCAAATACTACTGACAGAAATATCATTGTCTGTCACTCGGTAAGGTCGTTTGCTTCAGTAGTTGCACTACTCTTTAAAGAGAAATGACAAGCTGCCATCTTGTATTTATAGACATCAGTGTCTCCAATACATTATCGTGAAACTGTCTCACTAGGTTAGTATAAATTGTTTCAGGCTGTTGACATTGCTAGTTTATGTTTAGAAACATTATCTTACTTGAAACAAACTATCTAGTAATTTCATAGCGCATGGATATTAACTAAGCAAAGGAGCCATCTTCAGAAGTTTTGTGAGTTGATTCCACAGTACTGTAATTCGCTGGTGAGTGACTTAGTCTTTACTCACTTTGAACAGTATTCCAGGCATATTATGGCTTGTCAGCTTAAGGGGAAAGCCTAAAGTGATGCAGGTCTTAGATGTTGAGCACTTTAGTAAAACCCTCGAGCATGGTTATGGAGCTGACAAGCCTAGAAACAGGTGAACCAGGAAGTCGAACCCACGACCATGTGGATGCAGGGCCTAACCCTGCTTTTATAACTGCGAAAACTGTTTATTTTTTCAACTTATTTGTTTATAAACCCCTACTTCCTCTGTACCTTCTTCTCCCCAAAGTTGCAGCTAAATATACCTTGCAGAATCCAAGATGGCTGACATCTGGTTGACCTTGCTTTTCAAAATGGTCTGGTCCCATGTGATAACCTGCCATGTATGTTATCATGGCTAGCATGGATTTGGAATTATTTACCTAAGGGACATACAAATATTTGCCCTTTCCTCTTTAATAGAAAATGATGGGGAAATATCTGACAATGAAAGTCACAGCACCATCTTGAAACTCTGAACTGCAGATCTGCATCCACCAGTCAACATTAGGTCACAATATGCTCTCTCTGATACATAGCATGTTATCAACAAATTATTTATTTGTACTGAATGTAAGTCCATAAACTTATAGCATACGTTTCAAATTTAGCATGAGATGCCATCCATAGTCATCACCAGAAATAAGAGACTCACAATAATGCCTCATGAAGTGAATAACACACAACATTTTGACGTACAGTTTAAGTAACTAACATTGCAATGAAACAGAAGCCAGGGTTCACTCTTGGAATTTTCTGACATGCGCCTTTTATGTGAAAATTTCACAGAGGCATTCCAGAGGTACACCCACACTTGCCCATACAGCAGAATTTTTAAAATGCCCTATTGTATTGTAAAAAAGGAAAACATACAACACTGTAACATTTTAGTACAAGGAATGCAAATAATGATGAAACAAACGTATAAATGGAACCATGAACATGATGAACATTGACGCAGAGGACACTTGCTCTGAACATTACTAGGGAAAGTAGTCTTGAAAAAGAGAGAATTTGTACCACAAAACTCTTACGTACTCGTAAATGTTGAAAAATGGCTCACACCGGATAGAGGATGCGACAATTTCAGTAATGACACCACTCAAAACACCATTATGCCCTAAAAGTATTTTGAACTACATCATCGGGCGCTTATACCTATATCACTGTCACACAATTGTTTAAACTTGTCTTCCAACGGGGACAATGCACTTGATACTTCCTTTTGTAAGTAGCCTAATTTTATTTAAGGAGTGTGTTATTACTCAATACAATATCTCACTGCCACTGCATGGTGATATGCTACACTTGACAAATGGATCCGGAAACGTAAGATTTGTGATTCGCATGAATTGTCTTAGTTTTCTGGGTCCCATATATATCCTATGTGGACCCATAGGGATTCTGGGTAAGAATATAGGGTCCATGGGTGGGAAGACTAGCTGACTTGGTTGATAGATTGTCATTGCATCACAATGGTGTGGATCGATGCTCATGATGTCGATAACTGGATTGTTAAATAGTAAGGTAAATAACTAGCTATTAAAAAACAGCTCATTCCTTCCAGGAAATTGGATATCAATCAGGAAGACATTTTTCAACCAGCTCATTTCTTATCAAGCTGTCAGTTTCTCTTTCAATCTTGACAGGCAAAGTGGCAGATAAAACATTGGGCATGCACATGATGAACAAAGTGACACAAAGTATTAATTTTTTGTCAATCAAACATGTCTCCTAACTATCACTCGTCAGGATTGTAAGATTTTTCAAAAACGATTCCAAGCCTTTTAATCTCTGCATAATATCCTCCTCATCGGCTGCCAGAGTGTTCTTCGTGTAGTACTACAAATGGAAAATCATTCATGCTCAGTGACAACCATATGACAGTTTTTCTGCTACATTCCACACAACACATGTTCAGAGATGATGTCAGCAATGCTTTCATGTTCTGGCTCGCAACTGATGACAGTGGAGCAGGCTGGCTTCAAGTACGATCATCCAAAGGAAGGCGGAAACTTGTGTCAGACAGTGTCCCGAGTGAGTGAGTGAGTGAGTGAGTGAGTGAGTGAGTGTGATTTGGGTTTAACCTTGCATTTGATAATTGCATTTATATATGTATGTGTGTGGGGCTGCTTGTACTTATCCACTCAGACACAGCATACTGAAATAAACAGCGTCTTCCTAGCCTTGGTGATGTCCCTTATAGTCTAAAAACTGTCTTCCTAGCCTTGGTGATGTCCCATATAGTCTAAACATTGTCTTCCTAGCCTTGGTGATGTCCTATATAGTCTAAACACTGTCTTCCTAGCCTTGGTGATGTCCTATATAGTCTAAACATTGTCTTCCTAGCCTTGGTGATGTCCCTTATAGTCTAAACATTGTCTCCCTACCCTTGGTGATGTCCTTTATAGTCTAAACACTGTCTTCCTAGCCTTGGTGATGTCCCTTATAGTCTAAACACTGTCGTCCTACCCTTGGTGATGTCCTTTATAGTCTCAACACTGTCGTCCTACCCTTGGTGATGTCCCATATAGTCTAAACACTGTCTTCCTACCCTTGGTGATGTCCCTAATAGTCTAAACACTGTCTTCCTACCCTTGGTGATGTCCTTTATAGTCTAAACACTGTCGTCCTACCCTTGGTGATGTCCCATATAGTCTAAACACTGTCTTCCTACCCTTGGTGATGTCCCTAATAGTCTAAACACTGTTTTCCTACCCTTGGTGATGTCCTTTATAGTCTAAACATTTTCCATCAACAATAGCTGAAACTGAACGCTGATCGCTGTAGAACCTTGCACAAAGTACCAAATCATGCCCATGCAGCATTCACTGTACGTGGTGGCGTATACTTTCACAGAGGTAGATGACGAGAGATGACAAACAAACAAGCCCTGACAGAGGCTGCTACTTAGCAACAACAGAATCTTGAATACCACACAATGTCCAAACAAAAAAGGTTCAACAGTTCAAGTTGGACTCATGAATATGAAGGTTTTCCAATTGGCACCAATACAAGGGCGAGTGACTGAAATGCATCTCTTTTGCTATGCCCAATGTGCCAGGTGAAGACCTTTTTCTGATATAAATCCAGAAACTCACGGAATGAATGAGTGAGTGTGTACAGTATGACACTGCTTTTAATTCCTGCAATATCATGTGGGCTGTAAAACCCATGTTTTCTGTGAGCAGTGTGAAAGCATTAACCACCATGCTTTAGCTATCCCTCTGGACATTACCACCAAGCCAAAATTCTTCAGTTTAATAATCCCCAATTGCTATACATCAAAACTTGAAAATAAAGTTTGTTCCACTCCTTGCTGGTCTGTTTCTTTATGCATGTGAGTCCGATTTCTCCTTGGATTGTCAAAATAAAAAAATTGGAATCTGGCCAAGAAGTTTAACTTTACCTCGTAAAATATTTGTTCAATACTGATTAAACTGCCTATATCCCTTCCACTGATTTCCCATCTGAGCTAGAAATAAAAGAGACAAGAGAAACTGCTTCATCTGTGTCATAATTAGATCTATGCATAAATATTCAGAGTGACCAGGTGACAAAGCACTCCCCACAAGACTGTATGACAAGAGGAATGACTTTAACTTTCAAATAGTCAACTTTCCTCTACTTCGAGAAATAATCCAGCAGCTCCAGCCTTTGGTGTATACATTTCACATCTTATGAGGTATAATCAAGCTTGATCTTTCTATGAAACATTCAAAGATGGTCATACGACTCTTGCTTAAAAGTTGTTTGATAAGGGTTACAACAATCAAGGCCTGAGAAAAGCTTTCAAAACTATTTAACATGTTTAAGGTAGACATTTGAATATGCTGAAGGACATTTCCACATTTAACACATCAGTGACAAACATAATCTCCTATTTTGACTTGTACCATATGTTCCCATGTTTTTTTCAGGTGAACAGTTGACTTGTCTTTGCATGTGTTTGTGATGGACACCAAAGGTGGGACAGGGTAAGTTCACTTTTCCACAAACACCTGGTATCATCACTATTTGATAATGAGTCTTAAACACATAATGATATAGTCGGAATATGCCTCTAGCAGAGATTTCTTATGCTTATGGAACGTTGTTTTTTTTGCTTTCATTAACAGATCACCAATAAGTATCCTATACATTTGTGTTTGCATAATAATATGAATATACAGACATTGTCAAAATGGTTGAAGAAATGGGTGTTACCTTTTCAAAAGCTTTCTCCTTTTCATTATTATAAAAAAATAATGCATCTCAGTGATAGCAGCAGTATCAATCATGTTGAATCACCAGCATAAACAGGTATTTCAGATCAGTTCTGACTTGTTTCAAACTTACCTTTCTGTGGCTTGTACTCCAAATGAGGTAATCTTTCAGTTGGGGTCTGCAAGTAAAGGAGAAGCAAGGATAAGTGTCTAGATTTCACCCAGTGATACCCAGACAGTGATCTCGGGGAGCAGAATGCCACACGTTTCCCACACACAACTCTTGTCTCTCTGTGATGCTGCCTACAAAATGGCCACCACTTCTGCCTCCTATACTACAGGAAGTCTCATATAGCATAGCTCCTTCACAATGATTAAAACAAGCCACAGTGGTATATAATGTACACAAATCTTTTCCATTGCGGATATGACTGAAACAATAGAGTCATACACACGCAAAAAATCACACTATTAGAGATAATAGAATAAGTGTAGATAACGTCAGAGCTTAGATTTTTGTGTCATCAAGTAAATATACATTTTATCAAATGTTAATCTTTATCATCTACGTCTTTTGGGCCAATAAATCAAATACTATGCAACAACTAATAAGTTTCAGTGAAACACTGCTTCTGGACAAATACTCATATAATTCAAAGGATATTACCATGTATCCTTGGTTCTTTAAAACAGAAACTTGTTGTCTGAATTATTTTAATCATCATGATCATAAGTTAAGAAACCTCAAAAGTTATGAATACAAGTTTGTTGACTGATTCATGTCCTGAGAGCCTTGATGTAAAAATTAAGTCTTAATGTTAATATTTATCCAAACAGTATGTCATATTTAAACCTGCTAATACTTTTCACAAGTTTCTTACAAGGATCAGATTTGTTTGTTTGTTTGTTGTTTAATGCCATATTCAGCAATGTTCCACCTTTATGACAGCAGTCTGTAAATAATCGAATCTGGACCAGACAATCCAGTGATTGATATCATGAGCATCGATCCACACAATTGGGATATAATGACATGCATCAACCAAGTCAGCGAGCCTGACCACCCGATCCCGTTAGTCGCCTCTCACGACAAACATAGCCGCCTCTTACGACAAGCATAGTTGTCTTGTACAGCAAGCATGACAGTTACACAAACTTGTTTCTGTACTATAATTATTTATCAAGTCATACCAAATATGCAGACATGTGTTAGACATCGAGCCGTGTAAAACACACAGGAAATACACACTTGATGACAACATGAAGTTAAACAGATTCAGCAATTAATAATAAATGCAGTCAAATTAGACATGCTAGACACTGAGTTGTGTAAAACACAAAGAAAAACGCTAAAGTATCTTTCACAAGCACAACACAACGGTGCACAACCCCAGTATCCTCGACATCGAGGTGTGATAACTCAGGATATTTAACTCATTAAGTGTGAAAACATCCTGTGAAAAGAGTCTCCGACTGCCTACAAATTCCACCTTCCTATCTGGTGAATACACAGGTGGGTTATTATGGCTTGAATGCTTGGTGGCAGTAAGTGCTGTTATCACATGCTTGGGAGATATCTGCTCTAGCTGCCACTTGCTTCCATCAGAGGGACGTTTTCTGTTTCTTTATCTAATCATTCCAACAGAATATGTGTTCCAATTTCAAATTAATTGCCTTCATAAGCAGAGGTGACCAAGTGCCCAGAAGATAAGCACTGAAATCAACACTCCATGATTTGAATAACTTATCTTCAATAAAATATTTATGCTTACAGTTCTGTGCATGTTTTTGAGGATAATTCTCTTTCAACTCAAAGTGAAACAAATGATGCATGACAAAATTGGGGTACCACATGCCCAAAACAATATCTCTTTTTATTTTTGTTTTAATATACCAAATTATGAATAGCAAATTAAGTATAATCATATTTCATTGTAGCTTCCTCCTGCTTCTGAGTACCACTCCATGATGAAGTGTTCCTTGATGGATTGAGACATGGCAGAAGTAAAAGGGAGTACAATCAATAAAGTTCTACAACTGCCACTAGACAGTAATCCTCCACGGAAAGATTATACAATGGCTTAGCTCGGAGCTGACCCCCAGATGAGAACAGGCGGCCATGTTAATTGAGAAGTAGGAGACACACGGATGTTTCAGCTACATTCCTGGCAAAGCTCCCAGCTTGCTGCCTCTGTATCTAGCCTTGGTACAGGTGTCCTTTGATCTGCTTGTCCACCTAGCCTTGATAAAGGCTCTATATGATCTGCTTGAACAAGGTCTACTGAGTCTTTTCTGAGACAATCTCAAACAAATGAGATATTTTACTCTGATGCGATACCTCTCTCCACAGACGTTTGCATCAGATCAACCTCTCTCCACAGACGTTTGCATCAGATCAACCCTGATCTAATACTGACTGCCCATTCAAAATGAAGGATGTGCAGGTGCTTGAAACCATCAGAGGTTAGATTTCTAAAACAATTTGGCTTCATTTCAGAAGTTGCAATTTCAGCCAAAGAAACCGCCACACAACACAAAATAACCCCCCCTTAATGCAGCCTTTTGGGTGTATATTCCATGGCGGTCAGAAACGACATGATTAATAAAACATCCACGAAAACAGCATGACTGTATATTCTTGGACATGGATTTCCCTGATTATATTCATTTTCGAGATACCAAAATAAGATAGGCTTGTCTGAATTTTTCGCTCACTTGTACCAATAATTTAGGAGCCACTAAGCTGATTGGCCAATTTGAAAGTTCACCCGACATGGCCTTCTATTTTCATCTAGATTGGTATCGTATCAGGGATCTGATTTCACTCGACTCTAAGGCCCTGTATGATCTGCCAAACATGTTTACCTAGACTTGATACAGTTCACAATTATGGCCTTTAACTGGTTTACCTAACCTCGATACAGGCTAACAACTATGACCTTTAATCGTCTTACGTCTAGCCAAGATACACGCTCCCTATGATCACCCGTAATTGGTCTTCCTACTAAGCCAACGATGACCTCTAATTGTTTTACATAGCCTTGATACAGCCTCCCGATGATCTGAACCTTTCCACATGAACCATTTTCCTACCTAACTTGATAGACATGTGACACTTCTCTGGCTTGCCTCCATAGTCTGCCTGACATCCCCATTTACCTGGCTGATATACATGTGTTCCACTGATCTGTTCAGCACTATCTAACAAGGACCATTAGTCCACGTTGCCACATTCACCAACTACAACATTATCCTGAGGACTTACACTGTGAGATAAAGTACATTTACCAATAGCACTGCTGTTGATTATCCAGACAAAAATTCATCAGTAACACCAATAATCTGCTGAAAAGTATGCTGCCTATCTGCTTGAAGACACTTGAATGAAGTTTGATTGTGCACAGCAAGCACATAGTTTCACATAAAACAGCAAAAACGACCAAGTTCAAATTTTTTATCATATAAGTTACACTCTTGAAGTCTTTGATAGGCATTTGGAAGTTTGAAAAACATGAATACATGACACTCAACAACTTCTTTTATCATTTGTAACCACATTTCAGAGCCCTTCAACCCCTTCATGAAGTTGCTCTTAAACCTGATTTCAAAGAATAAAAGAAGTTGTTTTCCATAAAAAAGTGTCATGTAGTTACACTCTTGTTCCTTTGCAACAAATGAAAACGATGTGCTGCTATTTTCCTACCAGACTGCTGCCAGTCTATTCCATTGTACCTGCCAGACTTCAGCTGGCACTAGCCTGTTGTATAATTTCAGCACAGTGTTTGAGATCACTGTGGGCAAATAACTCCCTTGCTGTGTCAACTTCATTTTAACGTTTGACATGGCAGGTTTTCGCATTCTTGTTAAACAGGAGCCTTATTACAGGGGTAATTATGAGGCACACGTTCCTCACACTGCAACATAGTTCAGCAAACAGAGGATGAAATGTAAATTTAACAATATCCAAAACGAACTTCCTAACTGTTGGCACAAGTCTAATGTGGTTACATTTTTTATCACAAGTTAAATGTATCAGTAAATTGAAGAAACAGACCACATGAGTTCAATACACTGGATGAAGCATGTTTACTTATCAAAAGTATGTTCCCTTATCCAAACTGTTATTTTACTCTCACTCAAATGAAAATTGATATTGTGAGTGAGTTAGTTACAATTTAACGACACATCAGCATTATTTCCGCTATACATGACAACATGAAGTTGTGTCGTGAATCCAAAGTTGTCGAACATTACACACACACACACACACACACACACACACACACACACACACACACACACACACACACTAATAAATGACAAGTCCCCAAGGCGGAACTGCAATACAAATTGACAAGAATGCATTGGAATTGACAAGGATGTATTGCAGGTACAAGTAAAACCCGCATGCCTCAGCATGTCGAATCAATGGTTCTGCAAGGTTCTCCATCGCAGTGACCCGCTTACACGTAGATTCAACATTTACGGCCAGATTCACACAGATATGCGAGACGGCAGTGGAGACTATTGTCACTGTCTGACAGTAACATGCTTCAAATACCTGGCAAAACTGGGCAATTGAGGTCATGGAAAAACAAAGCAAAGAAACCTTCATCTCACTTGAAGACCTACAGTAAGGTCTGTTACAGCTGCAGAGGGGGCATCTCAACAGTCAGTCCTATTCACAAAAAGGCCATCTCAGTTTTTATCTGTCAACAGTAACTAGTTAACAGGACTAGGTGTGCAGGTTACCAAATGTTATTTTAGAATCACATTACTGACAATTTAAACTAAAGATTCATTTTTCAAACTGTAAATACACATCTTCAGAAATTGAAGGAAACACATGCAAAAATGAATAAAGTATGTTACATAATTTTGCACATCTTTAAAATATTGTAAAATATCTTCATTTTCACACCAAAACTGTGACCTATTTGGTTTGAACAAGGTGAACCATGAATAGTTCAATGGTGAAAAGCAGGTCAACAATATTAACATAAATACATATGAGACTGTCCCCAAGTTTCAAGGCGAGTGACAATTCTTTTTACAACAAGGAATCTGAAAGGAATCTTCTCTGTCCATGTAGGTATGAAGGTTAATTGAAGCTGGAGAATGGACACTATCTCCCATCACACTGTGTCCAGGAAACTACAAACTGAGAAGTCCTTCAGAG